GTAATTTGAAGATGCCTACTATGGTGACACCAGTTGCAAAGTTTGCCAACAGAGGGTTTTGTAGTCGGAGCATTAGTACGGCTTTAATCCATATGGACGGCACAACTGTGGAGCAAATACCAGAACTCTGCAGACGTGCACGTTTGTCGTGACATTGCCTTTGACCCCGCCACACGGCTAGAATAAACATTATCGCTGGATTTAGACATGGCTGTAATCCAGGTGCAGTGATCCCGGGGTTATTTCCTCGTCATTGACTTTGTAATTTTCTGCATCGAGTGTCGACTACCGAACGCTCGAAGGGGATTCTCGTATTGGAGGTCAGGGGGAGTGACGTCCATATGTAATTTAGAAGCGTACGGTTTTCTTCCCAAGTTGTCCTGTAGAATTTTAATTCGTGAAAGTTGGGCGGGACAAAAATATGCCTAGATGTCCATGACCTGCATGTTATGACATGGACATGACTTACATATGTCAGGGTTGACACTCCGATCTACATTGTAGTTAGAATCAGCTATTTTACTGTAAATTTTAGGATACTCTAATAGGCTGTAACAATTTTATTTGTTGGTTCTTGGATTTTTTTAGGAAACTAATAAAGCAACAGGGCAAAAAAATACATGATTGTGTATATAAATTATAAAATTATAATGTAGACCTGCCAGAAAATGACACTGAATTCAACTAGCATGAAACTATTGAAAGTTCATCTGTGTTGGTACAAGTCATTATGAAATAAAGACTGGCAACGCTATAATGAATTTACCTTTGAGAAAGTTATTATTTCATAACACTGAATTAAAATTTTTATCTGTCACTCCGTGGTTTTAAATTTTCCTTCAAAGGATTCTCTCTAAATATTAAACTGCCACAAAACTGAAAAGTGAATATATTTTACTTACATGTGAAACAGATGGCAGGGGGCACACAGAGTCAGGTACTGGGATGAGGTAAAACCCCAGAAGGAACAAACTAATCTACAGACGTGTCGGACGCTTCAAAAGTGGCAGAAATTGTACCATTCGTCTCATACTTCACAAGTTCATTGCTGTGAGAGCCATTTTTAAACTTGCCTGGTGACAGACTGTCGTGGAACGGTGGATTGTCAGTGATGGAAATCACAATCAATTGGGCTTGCTCTTTTTTTAAAAAAAGGGAGAAAGAATTCATTCATTTCCAGGAAGATGTTGATGACAAACTTCCCACGGTGAAAAAATTGCATATTAGGCCACACCAATTTAATTTGTTGGTTCTCAGATTTTTTCGAAAGAATATGAAGCAACAGGGCAAAAAAAAATAAAAATAAGAACAGGTATATGCATCCTAATGCTATGATAGGAGCCATGAAGTCAAAACAAAGGGCTGGGTTAAAATTTAAACAATAGATTTTGAAGTTTTAATCAAACCACTGCATTGATTGATGAAAAAAACTGTAGGAACTAGGAAGAAAAGGACTTTCCTCAACTGTTGGGTGCAAAATATGAGCATTTTTAAGTTGATTCAGAACCAGAATTTTTTATTTCTTTTGCAAATAAAAAAAAAATGAAGAGGTGAATCGGAGAACCAACAAATTAAATTGGTGTGGCCTTAGCTTGACCTTTGTTTGAACATCAGTCTAAGTTTAATTTCCTCCTGATGAATTTGAAGTTGCCTTTATTTTTATCTACACAGATGGCATAATTAGTCCATGACAAAAAAATGTTAACCATTTCTTTTTCTCTCAGACGTTTGTGATCTTATCATTCTGTTGTAACTTTAGAGTTGCAATCTTATCATTCTGTTGTAACTTAGAGTTAAAGAAATCAAAGCAAGGCATTGAATCAAGAGCTATCTTGACGCAGAATCTCTGTGAGATTGGTCATCAGGTTCAAGCTGATGGAATGTTACTGTGTGCACTCCACGCGATCACATCTCGGAACTTTCATCAAGCAAAGAACTTCTTTGGCGTTGTGTAATCCGGACCTAAGCCATCGGGGCATCCCAGAGAGAGGGAAGCAGTCTGTTGTTGATTCAGAATTTATTGCGGTGGGAAAGAGCGGGTTTACATATATAGCATGTACATTAAGCCTACGATAGGGACGAGTGCTCGCAATTGAGAATGAAAGAGAAGTCAAGTGATTTAGCACTTGACTTCTCTGAGAGAAACTTATAATTAGATCTTGTGTGATGGTGATGGTGACTGTGTCTTCTTCTTATTCACCATGGTGTTTGTATGCAAATCTTTCTTTACTGTGCAATTAGGGAAACGTACAAGCTATCAGCTGTCAAGGAGGTCATGTATAGAACAAAACTGCTACCAGATGTAGACGTGATTAATGATTTTTCCCTTAGGGATTTACAACCTACCTAAGGACCATGTGGAAACACAGACACACACACGGACACACACACACACACATACACATACCAAAAACAGTACCACCGTTTTTCATGGAGGTAAAAGTGCAAACGACCCTCCATTAACTAAGATCATATTAATATTGCAGCTCACACCTGTTATCACACACTTTACCAAAATTGCCCATGCTCATGGAAACGTGGCCTACGTAAGGACCTTTAAATGTCACTATAAGCACTTCATGGAGTATGTGAGAGGTTTTCTCTGACAGAGGTGAGAGTCTCTACCATGGCAGGCACTAATTGCCTCATCTCAGGCAGTGTGACACCTGGTGCATGATATATGAAGATGACACATCTTCCCTACAGTACTTGCTCTGTATATATAGTACATGTACTAGTACGTTCTGTTCTAACCCGCCTGAACTTTTTTTCTGTCATCTCAAATTTTGTTTGACATAACAACAAAGCATGACAATTGGGGGGGGGGTCCAGGGGCATACTCCCCCAAGAAAATTTAAAATCTTGACCCTCTGAACACTATTTCCTGCATTTTGAGGAGCAAATTTTGCTGGTATGACTTACATGTACATGTACAATGTCGCCTCTTTCTGTATCTCTTGACTACACGCGGATTTTTGTCTGTCAAAGATGACAGATTGAAGATGAAAGACAAAGTTAAAGTTATCAGAAAAGTTTATCTGTATTGGTATACAACAGTATGGTAAAGTGAATGCCTAAGCATTTAATTACAAGTGCAAGTTTGAATCATATCCACAGTATTGGCACTTGATCTTATCACTTATGGCAGAAAATTATATGATAAATGCATAAAATGATTGTAATAATCACACTAACTAAAGTAATACCTTGACAAATATCAGATAATTCCTACTGGTGTCGGAAATTGATGATGACTGATGTCCCCCCCTACTACAGACATGCGTACAATTTTACCAGTAAACCGCACCCGTTATAGTAACAGTTATGTCCAAACTTCAACTGTCAAGGTCACCCTATGTCCTTGAACCGTGTCCCCATCCCGGCAGCCCCTCCTACATGGCGGCTTGCACGTGCTCGGCGGGGACAGTTCCGAACTTTCCCGCGCCCGCCGCGATAATGACGTGGCATGCGCGGGCGGCACACCTTGTCCCGGGGGCGGCTATTTCTGAATTTGTCGTTTCTCTCCCCCCGCAAAGGTCGCTGTCCTCGCGTGGGTTTGGCGCAACACCAAGTTTTTGTCAGGGACGAGAGGGATGGCGCTCATATTTCCCACGACCCCGACCATAAATAGCCGCCGGTATTCCATTGACCATCGTGACCACAACAACATCCCCGTGACGTGACAGGCCGACCCGGGGTCGCAGGCGGGGGGTATCGGATGGCGCATTTTCGACATCATCGCTGTAAACCATTCCCGTGTTTACAGAGTCGGGAGTAGTACCTTGATAAGGCGCGCTGCTGCGGTGATCTCATTTGCATAATGAGGAGGGACCACAACTTGACAGACTTCTCGTGTGGGGCTCTGGCTTGGGCGTGGCCTGGCTCTTACTAGAAATGAATTCCCTCCCCTCTGTTCTGTTCCAAGTTAAGTTTCATGTATGCGTTGAAACAACTGAGCTTGTATAACTACATTGTACATGTATAAGCATTACATGTTTTGTTCATGCCAAAATTGAATGTTAAGCCTCAGGCACACATTCTGATAATCAGGACAATGAATGGTTCGTCTGGCAACTGTCACATTGTTGTTTTTCTTGTGTTCAAAAGTATTAAAAAAAACATTTTCTTTGTAAGGAAACTAAATAAAATCCTTTACTAATCATTCTTCACAATGATGTTTTACCACACAAACAAAAAGTACCAGGACTCCTTTGGAGCCAATTTCAAGTAAAGCATTCAAGTTACATGTACATCACTGTCAGAAAATGCATATGTAATCTAGCAACAAGTTGGCAATCATAATATTTTCATTAATGGCAAATAATCACAAAAAATGTAAACATAACATTGTACTGCGCAACAAATTATTGCAAATTTAGGTACAGTATAGCCTGGGTGGTAATTCCCATACCTATATGGGTCCTATCTATGTCTAGGGGAAGCGGATCACAGATAAGATATACTAGAAGGTTAATGGATAGTACTAAATAATGAGTGAGTGATGGATATATACCATCCCATACCCATCCCAGCTTTAATTGCAATACACATTCCAAAATACATGGCTGACTGGAAGCAACAAGCATGTACATGTTGCATTTGATAGTGCAGTTGCCAACTGATATAATTTCATTGATCAGTAAATTTTTATTTGGAAAACGATAATTTAAAAGTAGTCCAGGAGAGTGCCTGAATTTTGTAACTAATCTGCAAGTTTTGAAATTGTTGACGACTTTGACGTGTTGACCCAGTGTGACCTCACACTTCAAAGAAGCCACGTGACAAGCCTTACTGGGTCAGTCTACTAAGGAAGACCAGAGTGACTGGTCGAAAGCTAGATAGGTGAGAGAATTTTTGTGTTGGATCTTAAGTTTTTAACTCTAGTTTTTAACTCTACAGTAGTTACAAAGAATTCTGTCTCCTTACGAGTGCAATAACTCTCTAAGTTAACACAAAATTTTGGAGATCCCAATAAAACAAACAAACAAACAAACTCTCACCTGCAGAAAAAAGAGTCAGGAATCCACATCAGAGTCTGTTTCGAGGTGGAAAACCTGAAAGCATAAGGATTACAAGGTTAAAAAAAACCCAGCTGTCACTCAACACTAGTCCAAAAGTCCTCTCTCGCTAGTAGTAAGGGGTAATCTCCAAGCAGATGTATGGTTTTGTTCTTATGTATAAATTTGTAAAACTTAAAAGAGGGCCTGCATGGGGGGTAGACGGGTAGTGATTACGAATTACACAAAATTTTTGCTGCCGATTACAATTTAGGTTAAATGCTGAAACCTGATTACGAACAATTAATCATTATGTCTATTATGACTGTGCTGAATATGATTAATACAATGGCTTTGTGTGACTGCCTACAGATTATGAAGATTAAAAAGGCCTGATTAAGCCTTACCAAAAAGGGCATGCAGACCCTCGTAAAAGTTCAGGAGCCAGGATTCACTAGTCTGAAAGTCTGTTATCGGCAAGGGGCAATCTCCAAGCAGATGCATGGTTTTGTTTTTGTCTTCTAACCTCTTGTAAAAACAACACTCCTTCAAGGTGATGCAGCCAAGGTGATATCAGTCTTATCTACGTTGAAGCACATCTGGCCTTAAAATAGACCTAACATTTATGGTCTACATCGCGAAGAAAACGAAACTTTTTTTTTTCAGCTGAACCAAAACTATGCCCCCCTCCCACAAATGTGCGATTTCGTGGGACCAAAACTCACCTCGTACCGCCGACATTGAGATGTATGATGTCCCCCGGACACGGCAGGGGATCCATGCTACCAAACAAGGCAAAATACAGTTTGCTGGCTTACATAGAGAGCGTTAATGTGTGTAAATAAACACGGGAATCACGAGAAAACGGAAGAACGAAACGATGACAAATCAATCCTGCGCGGTGACCTGGCAAAAATAACCACAGCGCGCATCCCGGAATTCACGACGTCTGATTGGTGGATATGATGCATCACGTGGTACAGGTCATCCAACATGGCTGCGCACACGGTTTGTAAAAATTCCCACATTTTTACCTAAATTTTTCAAGAAATATTGAGAATAAATCATCATAGGGCTAGATGATGAGAACGATGCTGTTTCTAGAAGGTGTTCAGAACTTGGGGCGTGTGACTGCACCGATTTTCAAAGAGCATTTAGGAAGAAACGCTGTGTTGAAGTGTAAGACTAAGAGGTATGTACACAGCTCCTGTGCTCTGACAGCCAAACTCAAGGATCCTCCAGGCGTGAAGAAACCCCCAGACGGCCTTCCTGTCTTCCAGTACATCGGCAAACACACCAAGAGGGTGAACAAGATCTTCGTCTGGGGAAACGCGGTTACCGGCGCGTTGGGCATCCCGGACTTTCTCAACCCACCTCCCAGAAAGCGTGTCCGTAAGCACCAGACCGTACCTTACTGCCTGCAGGACTTTTCGCAAGAAGCGCGAACTGTTTCTTGTGGTTACGGTTTCACCGTTCTCACGAGTTCAAAGGAGCGAGGGAAGGTGTGGGGTACGGGTGTGAACACTGATTCGCAGCTAGGCTTGCAGAAGGCCGTGAAAAGTACCCACGAAGGAGCGAGCGCGATTGTCTTAGATTACGTGATTGCGCCTGCACCTGTGGATCTGCCTCTCGCGCAGCTGCAGGAGACCCAGGTGCTTCAGGTGGCCTGCGGGCGGGCGCACACCCTGATCTTGACAGACGGGGAAGGCGTGTTTTCCCTCGGGAACAACGCGTACGGCCAGTGTGGCCGCCCTGTGGTGGAAAAGGAAGACTACAGAGGCAGCCCACAGGTTAACAAGGTTAATGTCAAAGGGAAAGTGAAGCAGCTAGCAGCTGGGCTTGACCACAGCTTGTTTCTAACCGAAGACGGAGAGGTGTACAGCTGTGGGTGGGGTGCCGACGGTCAGACGGGACTGGGACACTACAAGACCGAGCACCAACCTACCAGACTCCTGGGAGACATCGAGGGCGAGAAAATCACGCAGGTGGCGACATTTGCCGACTGCTGCCTCGCTGTCTCCGAGAAAGGAGACCTTTTCGGCTGGGGGAACTCCGAGTACAATCAGCTGGCTTCTGTGACAGATACAACGCAGGTTAACATACCCAGACTCTTACCGTTCGACTACATCGGGAAAGCTGTACAGGTAGCAGTAGGTGGAACGATATGTGCCGTCCTAAACAACCAGGGTCAGGTGTACGTATGGGGCTACGGGATACTCGGCAAAGGTCCCAAACTTGACGAGACCCCCATCCCAGAGCAGCTACCGGAGGCGCTGTTCGGACGAAACGATTTCAATCCAGACGTGACGGTGAAGGAAGTCAAGGCCGGACTGAACTGTTTTGCGGCGGTGACGACAATCGGAGACTTGTACACGTGGGGCGTGAACAAACACGGGTGTCTGGGACTGGGGCACCAGAAGGACCAGTACTTTCCCTGGAGAGTCTCTCTACCAGGAGAGGTTCTGAGTGTAGACTGTGGGGTGGACCACATGGTCGCCGTCATCAAATCACTGCTGTGATGCGTCTTTACAAGAACAGAATAAGTGAACATTTGATTTGATTTATTGAAATTGCAACAGTGCAATACACGCGGAACTGAGGCAGCTGTTGCTGGTGTTGTGTCCCACATATAGAAACAAATACTGGACAGACAATACTCATTTTCACTTGAGTCTAGTGGGGAAAGTTGTATAAAGTGCCTTTCCCAAGGGCACAAGATCGGTTGCATGTCAGGACTTGAACCCGGGACCTCTTGATTCCGAGTTAAGCACGCTGCCATTGCGCCACACGACATTTGAATATCCTTATTTACTAGTAATTGATTAGTTCACTAAGGTTTTAGAATATGACAAAATCCTATCTGTATTTCTGCCAGTAGAATTGGCAGTTCTACTTGTAGAAATTCTGATTCTGTAAATTTGAAAGAACACAACTTTTCATCTTTGATTCATGTCACTGTAGATCAGTTGATTGACTGGACAGGATTTATACATGGGGGACCACTCCAACACATTCCTAACACCCTGAACATGATTTCTGTTGACAGGCTCTATCTACCAGTAGAATTAGCAAATCTGCCAGATTGCCATCTGTTTACAGGTATTTGGGGTAAAGTTAAATCCTTTCCCAGTTATAATGTTTACCTTTGCAGAAGGAAAATGAACACATGTATGTACTTTTTTTGTTTAGTTTCCTACTCTTCCCTTTCAAAGAAATGAGGTCAATGACCTGGACCAAATGGCAGTCACTATTGTAACTAGAGCAGTATCAGACACCCTGTGGTGTTGGGTTACATTATGTAGCAGGTGGCAGGACAAGAGTCGGAGTGGCTGGCCACCATGTGTATATGGTTGTGAAAAAGAATAAAACGAGCAGTAGTTTGTAATCCAAAGCCATGTGAAGGTAGACATATGCATTTTCTTTAAAAGTGTTATCTTTCTTGTTATCACTTGATATGGTTAGGTAAGGGTCTGCCAGGAAACTTTCACACACTCCACACCCCCCATTGACCCATTCCATTGCTGGCTCATTGTCTTAAGTAGAAGATCCTTTAACAAATCCCCTTCCCCTTTATTTTGAAGCCATTCCCTGATTAGCTGCCAATTTATGTTTTGTAATGGAGCAGCCAATAGTAAAACAGCAATCAATCTCTTTGATGCAAGTTTTATGTAAGAACTGACATATGGTGCACAGTATCTAACCATTCATTCTGAAGCCAGATCAAAGTCGATCTGTGCAAGCTAGTCTGTGAAATGACTAAAACATACGTCAAAGATATCAATCACATCAATGTTTAATCGATTTGGAACCACTTTACTGTACAAGATATATTTTGCCAGAAAAGAGAACCACGGAGAAAAATGACACTGTATATATGAGTTCTGCTTCGCTTCTTCTGTAGCTACTGTAGCAATGTATACATGTACATCTATCACAAGTGTGTAATTAAGTAGCGTCCCTGTGTGAGTGTAGAACTACAATGATGACGACTACCCTTTCAGGGTATAGCCGACTGGCACCAGTAAAATAAAGCTATCTGTCAATCCGGCTAACCCAATTACCCATCCACACAAAGCTACAAGAAGAAGTGGCTCCATAACCATAAAAACAGCCCTTCTAATCGTAAATATTTCGCAGAGATGAACCGAGGGGGGCTTTCAATGGATTTCTTTGATCACGCGGTGCATTAGCCTGCCCCAGACAGTTAATGTGGACGAATTGTGACTTAGTTGTGTTCAGGAGACGTCCCAAAAAGGTCATTCTGTATATTACGCCGGTCAACTTTTCTTTCTTTTTTTTTTCAATGCCCTTTTTCTATTGTGAGGTTGTACAGCGTAACGGCAAGGTGTTTGGCCACAGTGGTGTTTGGCCCAGAACCCAGAGGTCCTTGGTTCGAATCCTGACATGTCACCGATCTTGTGCCCTTGGGAAAGACACTTTACATGACTTATTAAGCTTTCCTCACTCCACCCAGGTGTAAAATGGGTACCTGACTTTGGTTGGGTAGGTAAAAGGCGGTGGAAGGAGAGGGATGGGCTCGGACCTCCAATACCGTGCCCTAGACACAGTGGATTAACTAGTATGGATTAACAACCCACGGTCCCTTCGGCCTTAAAAAGGCTACGGGACTACCTTTATACCTCTTTCTATATCTATACTCCATATGATATTTCTTGGTACGTTTCATGGGGTCTCTCAATATGGGCAACCTGATGATAACATCTAAATGTATTGAACCAGGAAAGTGTTTGTCTATCGGATCGAAGATCATGGCATGCAAATGTACGGAAAAATAGGTTACTTCAATAATTTTCATCGATGTACAATATAGAACAGTGGCCATCACCTGGATACATCTACGAATCTAATTTTTCATCTTGCATTTCAATTTCGAGTTCTTGAATTTCAATTCAATTTTCATTTTTTATTAGTAAATCAATAATCTGGAGAATACAGACTATATTGTATACAACATGGATTTTTTTTTTAAAAACATTGAGGCACCCTATAAATTAAAATCTAAAATCCAAGCGTGCTGGGTCTCCTTCAGACTTGACCTCCCTGTCGGTTAATTGTCAAAATCTTCTCCCACCCTCCACGCAACCGTCGTCATTTGGACGTACATGTATAAACAAACCCACAACTCAGCCGCTCAAAATAATACCCGAACCGAAATACCAATATATGTACGTTTCAGTGCTCCATTCAAATATCTCACACGTACATTACAGTACATGTACATGTATCTGTTTTAACATGGGGATTTTGGCGCATTAGACTAATAGTGATCTACTGCGAAGGCTAGCTCCGTTTTGAAGAATAAAAGACTTGCTGGTTGTTACTGTCTTCTCTCATTCAAAATTTGTATCTTAACATTTGTCGTTCCTTAGTATATTTCAAACCTAGTCATCTTGTTTTTTCAGCCCTTAATGTTTTGTTTTTTGCGCTTTCGCATTAGATGTAGGGTCACCAAAGGACGTCATCCCTAAAAATGACTTGGTGTGGCCTAATGTACAAATGTAGTAGTACACCAGTACAAGACTGGGGGATTTCCCACAAATCAGCCTTGTCATCGATCAAGTACAAAACTAGCTGGGAGCTCCGGGAGGCGTGTTTTTTTTTCGCGCTTTCGCATTAGATTTAGGGTCACCAGAGGACGTCATCCATAAGAATGACTTGGTGTGGCCTAATGTAGTAGTACGCTAGTACAAGACTGGGGGATTTCCCGCGAATCAGCCTTGTCATCGATCAAGTACAAAACTAGCCGGGAGCTCCCGGAGGCGTGTCAGGGAACGAAAGACCCACTGACAGGATCCCCTCCCCCTGTCCAACCTCCGCGGGGCATGCCTGGGGCGTCCGGAGGGCCCACTTATCATGACACACGAGCCGGGGACCGTGTTTTCACTTACCGACAGCTGGTCTTATAGGCTTGA